TTACGGTTTGCAAGGCAAAAAAAAAAAACAAAAAAAGTAAAAAAAAAAAAAAAAGAATTTTCAACACCCGAGATGTTAAAATCGAGCATATTCTGCTTTCCATTTTGGACAGTGCAATGAGCTTTGGACGGTGAGACACTCATGAGTGGGTGAAGAACGTGGAATTTTTAGGGTAGGGGGATGGAATTGCGGGTGTGTTGGAAGTTGGTGAGGAAGATAAAAGGACGTTGTCTTCGATTGTGAGTCAGTGTGAGGATACACGTGAGTGTTTCTCGTTCAAACGGGTATGGAATTGTGGGAGTTGCGCGTGATGGAAGCGCAACTTGGGAGGAACAGTTAATTGGAGGTATCAGTTAATTGGTTTGAGCTAATTTGAGTGGTGTTTTGTGCATGGTTAAAAAGGGACCTGGAATGCCGTGGAGTTGAAAGTGTAATTGCTGGTAACATAAGTCTGTGATGCCCCGATTTCGAAACGAGAAAACGAAGATCGACATTTATATTTCCTTTTTCTGTTTTGCAATATTTTTTCTTAGAATCGGAGAAGTGACGTTGGAATTGCCAGTGAAAGAACATTAGAATTGCGAATAAAGTTCTCTTCGATTATATTCTACACGTGTTTTGCGTTTAAATGCTTTCCGGAAACAACGCTTGGAATTGACAGTTTATTTCTACATATATATATATAACATGGAATTGCAAATTTGTTATTCATTCATTCGACCAGTATTAGAGGAAGAAATTGTTCATTTATTTCCGCGATCCTACCTTATTATCTTCCTTTATGGAATCGCAAGTAAAATGTGGTAAACTAAGTCTTGGAATTGCTAGGTCAGAGAGGTGGAATTGTGAACACAGCTTTGGTCAGTTTGATAGCTTAAATTCGAGCGATTAAATTTCCATTAACTTAATGTCATTGGAAAGTACTTGAAACAGTAAAACATTTGGAATTGCTGAATCGTAGATGTCAAAGCAGTTACATATGCACAGATTTGTCACTTTTTCTCTTATCGAAATCTATAGATCTTTATACTTTTGCACAGTATTAATAAGTGAAATATTTACTTTTCAATTCAGCATGATGAAATTATAAAAGAAAAATTCCTAAATCGGTGCAATTATTTGCAGATTCATTATCATTTACGTACAGGTTGTTTCGCAAAAGACCATGCCGGAAAGGTAAGGATCCACCACAATATTACTTCAAAGCGATTTCAAATTTACAATTTAATGTATCATTATTAGCGTAGCTGTTCTTTTTTTTTTTTTTTTTTTTTTTTTTTTTTTTTTTTTTTTTTTTTTTTTTTTTTAATTTTTTTCTTGTCTCGAAACCAGAATGGTTAGAATAATTGTCGAATCTGGGATTGTTTTGTCGAGCCTCGAGAGTACAAATCGCAAAAAGAAAAATTATTGAAAAAAGAAAGAAAAAAAAAAGTGTATGATTATTAAATTCTAAGTTATTAAAACGTTTCACATTTTAATTTTCCAGTTTTCTTTTTTACCGTCCGGTGTAACCTATTTCTATTTCAATTACCGCCTCAAAAAAAAAAGAAAAAAAAGAAAAGATAAGATAAGAATTAGAAGAAAATTCGCTATGTATGATAAAAACTTGTGCGAAAATTGGGGAAGGGCGAAAATGAAGTAGAAACACGAATTGTTGGATGCGTTGCGTGAAACCGCAAGCAGACAGAAAATTCGTGAGAAAAAGAAGGAAAAACGGTATAAAGCGGAAATCATGTAAATATTGTAAATAAAAATGTTCTCTCCTGCGAGCTCCTCTGCTTTCACTTCTTGATACGCGAGTCGTGTCCCATTTTTTTCAATTCCTTTTTTTTTCCACTTTTTTTTCTTCTTAATTTTCTGCCTTTTTTTTGAAGTTTCTATAAATTATCCTTTTTCTCTGTGTATAAAAAACTTGTATACTGGTCGAATCTGTCGCCTGTTGAGAGAAACTTTTTCTGTATGCATTCGTGGTATAACCGTACATCTATATATACGTACATATATATATATATGGTGTCTCTGCCGTTGTATGTGTTCACTTCCGGCCTCGACGTTGACGCCAAACGGGTATTTTTGCGATACTAAAATTTAATGGAACCCGTTATTGCCATTTCCACGGGGAATTAATATGAAAATACGAACCTGTACTTGCATATGTGTGTATACGTGTGCATACCGCACTTCTCTTGCACGCATATTAAACTTTCAATTGTGTGAACTGTACTTCCACTTGAACTGTGATATCTAATACTTTCGAATTCTCTGGAAAAACCGAGTATCTCTAATTTTTCCTTTCGTGCTGTTAAATGAATTCAATATTCAAAGCAGGATTCTAAACTTTAATTTTCTTTATAACTTTCGTTCACTTTCTCGTTTTGGTTTCTTTCTATTTTAATTTGCCAACTCTATCATGTTTTTGAAAAATCTTTTGTGAAAAAGAAAAAAAAGAAAAACTGTCTCTGAGCCGTAGAAATTTCTCAAGCTTCTCCTATCTCTACTTTACTCTACCTAACTCAGAAAAGCCTGGAACTTTCGCTTCAACAATACACCGTTCTGGCGAACTCCAGAGAGAGACACGACGTAATCTGAAAAAAGAAAAGGGTAGGTAAACATCTTCCTAACAAGATGTTTCTATCTTCCTGCAACCAATCTCTGCCTAACTTCTATCTATCATAACTATCCGCTTACAAAAAAAAAAAGAAAAGAAAAATAGAAAATAGAGAAAGAATAAAAAAGATTACACTGCTTAAAAAAAAAAAAAAAAAATGGCGTCAATGTCGAGCAATGACCTAACCTCAAAGGCTAACTTGCTATGATCGCTCATTATGGAACATGAAGCGCCGCATAGTCCACAACGTAGACGCGAGAGGCTGAACCTGAGGATGAAGAGTCTCAGTTTGGATTCTCCAGAGGGCACTGCTCACGTTCGACATCGTCCACGAGATTACTATAGCGGTGGCCAAAGGGAGTCCACTCCACCCAGACACTCTGACAGTGGAAGCATCAATAGATTATGTAAATATCTTGAATTAGGCACAATTTATGAACCTACTTACTCACAATTTGGATAATTTAATTGCAGCACCATGCAGTCCAGGCCAGGGCCATAGCGTCCATAAGCATATCAGGGGAGCCATCAGGATGTCCAGCATGGAGCTACCAGATGAGAATGAAAAGTCCTATTCGTCGGCGAGCACCTCTCCTTGTCCCTCACCGCACACCAACAATCAGAATCACATGAATCCACCTGGAAAACGTGTTCTACCTCCCAATAACCTATATGTGGTACTGTACAACTTTGAGGCGCGACATCGGGACGAATTGGACTTGAAGTAATCATTCAATGAGTAGTTTTAGAGGCTAACTTTCTCAGATGCGTTGGAACAGTAGGATAGTAGATTATCTGAAGTACACTGACTACTCGGTATCATTGCTAACACTCGGAACGTAATTGTGTTACAGAGCTGGTTACAAGGTGACGGTTCTCGACAAATCAGAGAAGGATTGGTGGAAGGGGAAGTGTCTGGGTGGCCGAGTAGGTTACTTCCCTAGTGCATATGTCATGCGAGTTGAATCTGGACAGAAGACGCTTCAAGTTACTCGCAACCTGCAGCTGACCGACCAAATTACCCTGTTACGTGATCAGGTATTCCTTGTGGCCATTATAAATCACTCATATAATTATCTTTTCTATCCTTTAATTAAATTGTTTTTTAGTTCCTGTTTATATTTTTTCTCCTTCGCGTTTCTTTGTTATCAAAGATATCAAATCTCGACTAATATCGTTCAGAACTACGTGCAACATCACCAGCGCCATCTACTTACAGCGATTCTTCTCGGTAGATTGTGATTCAGGTTGGCGAAGAGGTAGATGGCGTTGCGATGGTTCGCTGCGCCGCAGACGTCAGATCAGCGGACCACACGGGCAAAGAGGGTGAAGTTCTATACAAGGAGACCCTGTGCCCATTGAAGTATCTCCAGGAAGTGTGACAACAGCCTCGCCAGCCAAGCGAGCGGCAGAATCGCGCGAATCTTCGTGAGCGATTCTCCGCTTCAGCGCGGCGTAACGCAGTCGAAAAGTACTACGATTGTCTGCAATGTGCCGAGCAGTGTCGCCACGTAACCACTGTTGTCAACAACGTCAATAACAACAGTTTTAATGACACTGCGAACAACAATAACCTGAAGCTGATGAAGAGCACGAAGGACAACAGCCTGGTACCAAAAAACACCATGAACAATTACCGAGTAATAAACGCTCTAAATTCCTTGTCTTTAAAGGAAAACGCTAAGCTTCTGGCTCGTCTGGACGAGACCAGAGCTCTAAAGAACTCGAAGAACAGTAACCTGGCCAGGTCAATGAAGAACCAGCCATTACCCTTGACCCCAGCCAAGAAGAGGTCTTCCCTTGCTCGTCCAGTTCGAGTCCACGACTCCTTCGACCAACCCAGGAAACTGTTGCCTATGGAATACCCTTTCCACACTCCACAAAAGGCCAACGAAACCACGTACGAAGAGGATGAGTACAAGGAGACCAACTGGTCCATCCGGCTGAAGCTTGAGCAAATGTTCGAGCTGACCTTGCCACAGACCAAGAAAAGGACAAAGAAGAAAACGCCGATCATGCTGATGAAACAGCAACAGGCCAATAAACACGCATGCAAGGACACGGAAAGGCTGCTGCGTGTACCCAGCAATGTGGACCAAGATACTAGGTACAACGTCACACAGTGTTCTGTCATGTGAAGACTCACGTAGACGGTCGTGGAGCGAAAATTGAAGAGACTGGTGCTCGTTGGAGGTAGGCTGACGTAGTTGAAGCCGTGTAGATATAGAGAATGGAGCTCTGTCGTTGCAGTGCCATCTGAAGTGGTTTCTTGGAAGCACGAACAGTGTTGGTTAGGATGTTTGATTCTAATAAGCCTGGACGAGCATTTGGTTGACCTTCGATGACCAAACGCATAGTCGTCGCAGAAAATATTTTCATAGTAGTTGTGGGTTCACACATTGAACGATGCCAGGAATATATATTTTGTGTAGGAGAAACATCAATTTGTAGATTTTAATACAATGGGTTTAGGTTAGGTTTCGAGATAATGGCATATAGATTTCTAATGATACATGAAGGATATCGCTGTAGGTACGTAAAGGATATACATATGTTCGATAATCTTGAGAATGTAAATAATTAAGGTTATATATCTCAACATGTCCAGTTAACATAACCAATAATTATCAAAGTACCACTGTCATAGTGAAATGACTGCATGGTTGATAAACTAGAGTCCCCAAGGTTAATACATATTTAGTGGAATTTCTATTGTTATTGCTCATGCAATAAATTTTTTCTAATAATTATTACTTACATACAATAAAATTATAAATTAAAAATTTTTAATTGGTACAAGGCTTGATTCAAGCATACAGCCATTTCACTAACAAGACTACTTAACCAAAGGTTGTGTTTGGCATTGGAGATATGTAATTTTAATTATTTATATTTTTTAAATTATTAAACCTCTACACCTAAGTATCTTACATGTACGTGAAGAGGTTAGTATTAGGAATATATTTGGAATAGCATTATTTTTTCCTTCTTTCTAAAAATCAGATGAAGTACAAATTGATTTCGTACAACACCGAACGATATTCTAACCTAAAAGTATTGTTTTCTCTCGTTATTTCACCGAGTTTAGTTTTAGTCGCTTTTAAACCAAAAATATTATTAAATTTTTTCGCTACACTGATTTTGGGACCTATATTTCTGCGAAGACTATATGAAACATAGTCGAAGAGATAAATTGTGTTAACAAGACTCAGGGCCTGCCTCCCGAGCACCCGTTCGAAATTCAAGATGGAGTCAGTGCCCAGTCACGTGACACGTGTTTCGCTAATATGTAATAAGAAAGTTCTTTGTTCAGTGTGACTCGTGTCATAATACTATCGATCGCTTGTTGAGTTTGATAAAATCACCCAAAACGAGGAGATCGATATTTATATGGTTTTTAAGGTAGCCAGTTCGCGTAAATAATCAAGAATGCACATCATGGTCCGATGATATCCGAGGCAAGAAAGGTCTATGATTGATCTTGTCCTTGCAAAACGATTATATCGTATAGTCATTTATTTATGCATTTATCACGTGTCTTTTTTTCGTTGTCGTTGTTGTTTCTTCCTTTTTTCTTTTCTTTCTTTTTTTTTTTTGAAACTAATTTTACACTAACTTGAACAAATGATTCATCGTTTTTATCTTTGAGATTTATGTTCAGTTAAATATTTCTAATGTGATGAATTTTTGAAGAGCTTAAACGTTGCGTATGGTGTAATAGTTGTAATAATCGATATTTAAATAAGTGATTAATCTTGTGGAAAAATATCGTTCACGAGTTAAAACGTGTGAAAAGGTGTTTGCTTGATCGATTAATTAACAGTGAGCCATTCGTTGGGGAAAAATCGGATATCATTCGAAATCGATGAGAACATTCAGGTAACTTGCAGAGTGTGAGAAATATAGAACCAATAGGGGTCCTCTTTTGTTAGCTGGTCGCAGGAATTCTCATATATCATCCCTCTCCCTCCATCGGTATAGGAAATAAAAATTCTTTGTCACAGGTCATTAAGAAAATACTTGGCAAAAGGGATATTTCTTTTTTCTCAGTTAGAATACTTTTTTATCGATTAAATTCCCAACCGGATATTGAATTTGAACAATTTCGTTTCTCCTTTCTTTTTTAATTTTTTCCCAATATGAAGGTAAAAATCGGAATTTGATGATCTTGACGTTACGATTCCCAATTTTTATACCTTACGATTCGAAACAATCTCACTGCACCACTGAACCGAATTAAAAATCGTAATCGAAAATTCTAACATAAACGCGCTTGTATTTTACAACTAATTCCGTCCCCGAGAAACATTTAAACTGATAAAAAAAATTCGTCATTTAATTTGTTCTATACTTGCGTGAAATTCTAAAAATATTTGCCCCGCGATCTTATTTCCATTGCGACGATATGAATCATGAATAATCATTTTGTTGAAGTCGCGAGAAGGGTGCAATACTAACTGATTAAATCTATCAAAGGTTGAGAGATAAAATTATGCAGAGAAATGTTATGGACGATTGTCACTGTATTTAATAATGCGATATTTTATCTGAAGAGTTGACCAATTGCGTGATCTGCATTTACTTGATATGCATTTATAAGTACGAGTCGTTTCTGAAGGTACGTAACACGGAGTTCTTATTGAAATACACCGATAGTCCTGTAAAATAGTTCATGCAAAACCGAGGCAAAATATAGTCAAGGTATATTATCGCAGCTAACTTTATAGAAGAAAAATGCTCGACTCGTAGCAAACTTCAGAGTGACCAAAATATTCGAGACACGGTGGCGCTATCTCGTTGGTTCGCCACGTACCTTCAGAAATGCCTGTACATAGGCGTCGTTGAGTCTGAGAAATATATCAACGTTGAAGATTTTCATTCCAGTATTGGTAAATGAAAAACTAGAAAGGGTGTTTAAGAAATATATGAAAATTAATTTCGGATGAAACGAAGGAAAGAGGTTCGGAAAATTATTTGTTCACCAGTTAGAACACCGTCGATCAATTTGAAACAGCAATCAGCAGATATTTCATCCCCGATAGAATAAAATGTAAAGAAATAGAATGTGACATCTTCTTGTTGCTGCTTTTCAATTTCTTAATGACACATACGACACAAACACAGAAGTTGCATTTCCAAAGTCGAAGAATATTGAAGCACCGAAGCATTTGAGTGAAAACGTTTCACACGATATTCACACATAGAAGAAAGTCACATCAGAGAGCTCCGTGTACTTATTTTTTCACTATCCGACTACAGCCAACTTTACGATGAGCTGATCTAGTCGCAAATGTGCTTTCAACAACGTAATCTCATCGAGTGTGTCCTGTTCCTGCTTAGAGAATCCTTCGATCGTCCTCGATTGCGTTTGAACTCGTTCGTAAGACACAGAAGGAAATCATTTTGAAATAAATTGCGACGTATTTATAATTCGTATTTGAGGTCGAGAAAATTGATTCAATCGCAGATAAATTTCTTCTCGGCTTGCTCATTTTGTTCTTTAAAATTTACGAGAAATATCCGAGGAGATTCTTTCTTTCTCCATTTTTCTTTTTCAAATTCCCTTTTCGTTTTCTAAAACTTATTTTATTCGAACAATTATATTTATTTGTCTATCTTCGAAAGTCCAATTTTCCAACACTGCAGATTCGAGCCCAAAATTCTAAAGCGTTGCAGCCTAACACGCCATCTGTTACATAACCTATATCTTCAACCATAACCTATATCTGTATCTACTCCAGTCGTTTCTTATGAATACTACATAAAGTACATATATTTTTTCTTACTATTTTTATCACGGTAGTCAACTTGGAATTTTTGGAAAGAGATTTTCAAACTTACGGACAAGTTCGTGTTAACACTTGACGAGGACCGGGAGATCAAAGTAGATTAGGATTAAGTATCAGGGATAACCGTTGTGTTATTGTACGTTGTAATGCTACATATATTATATTTCATTATATTATATGCCGTAATGTAACGAGTGCCCTACCCTTGTTAAAGTGTATATCGAATTATTAACTGTACCATAGAGTGTAAGCTATTCCAACTACCACGCCCAGTATTTTCTAAGTATTATGATTATGCTGCAGGATGTGTTCGTGTTGTTGCAACTGCTTCTGGTTTGTCATTCCACTGGAACGATTTTTTATAACCTCACTAGCCCTACGAGAATCGATTTAACCCCTTCGTCTGCAATATCGTGCGAGACTCGTGGTAAGGGGATCGGGTCAAACACGAGTATCACGTGTGAGAGCCGTGGTTCAAAGTTAGGGCTCAATGTGACCATCACGGGTCAGACTCGTGATTAATTTTCGCCGATATCTTTCTGTCTCAGTGTTATTCATTTTTACATGGCTCGACGTGTGACCGACGTTGTCGTTCATCATGACACGCGCCATCGGAACTCTAATGGTAAAAGATTTAAACTTGAAAAATTTGTTTCTTTTAATCTTTCTTATATTTTATGTTATTCAACTTAGTGGAACGACGAACTTAAAGACAGGAACCAAATGAAACAAAGATAACTACGACACCGCGTTCACTGTATCAACGTTTGTGCACGAATGTTTGACGAAGCGTTGTGAGTTCGAACGAAGCACGAGAATGATGTATGTTCGATGATAATGTTGACGAGCAAGAGGAAAGCAGAACTACGAGTATACAAAGAGATTTCAGGAACGTTTCGTTTCTACGTGTGAGAGTGGCTACGGATTAGCTATGTCTCGTGTGCCATAACTCCTAACGTTTGATATATTTAACGAGTCTAGTCCATTTACAAAAGAAACTAAGAAACCTTTCGTACATACCCGAGCAAATGTGTTTATCCGAATTCATAGACTGCACGAAATATATATTATATCTATAAATATATCGACGTACGTTTACTAGATCACTACCATACCGACCGATCGGGGCCTTACGATAATCGTGCTAGGGAATTTGACCAGGAGGGACAACAGCCGAAATGAAAAATCTTTCAATGACTATTTCACTTTTATTCTCGATACATAACTCATAATACAACATTCTTCTTTTATTCTTCCATCGTTCGACACTAACACTTAATATATCATGGAAATAGCACACGCGAAATGTTTAAAAATAGGGATCAGGAATATAAAAAATACGGAAGAAATGCATAAAACTGGTTGACCAACTGGAAAACTAACGGAGGAGACCCCGTCAACGTTGTAAAAGGGATACGTTTCTCGACAATTTTTCAACTCCAATTGCTTAAATGGATAAAAATAAAATTAAACAAACAGCTTAATACGTTAGAGCTTAATTTTAATTCCAGCTGTGTCAACGTTGGCCAACCCAGCTTTTCTCAATGTCCATTCAACAGTCTGTGACAGCTCCTTACAGCTTGTATTTAGCACCTCTGATTATGGGGTATTTATCTCCAGTGCAGACACCACGGAAGTCGTCCAAAGACAAATCGTATATGGCCACACCACCCAAACCTTTGGCTTTAACATAGCTAGCCTTGTTACCAGCTGAGTCAGGGTCCTCGTAACCAACCCAGATACCATCGGCGCCAGTTTCCTCGTTGTAAGGTTGGAAGGCATAGCTACCATACTTATGTTTCGGGTCACCAACGCGTCTCAACCGACCCACAGCAGATTCTGTCAGCCTGGAACAGACTTCAGCGTACGAAAGGAGTCCAGGGGTATTGGTGTGTGGCCCTTCAGCACCTGGACCATCAGTGACGATAGGTGGCACCCCTGATATTTGACTGTCCGACGTGAGCTTCCACGTGCGAGCGAAGGTTGGGATTCCCACGACGATCTTGTATCCAGGTGTACCATTCTCGAGCCAATACCTTGAAGTAGAATTAATACTTTGCGGATATTTTTGGTTTGCCCCAGGCTGATGGGAATATCGTGCAATTTGAAAGGTTAACAAACTTGAAAATCAAGAAATCTGTTTTAATCGAGAAGAAATGATTTCTCCGGATCAAATAGATTGCACGAAGATTAGATTTTGGATAATTTCGAATTTTTAATAAATTGTGAATTACGTTCGATGATCTTTGGTATTATAGCATATTAATCCTCAAGTTTCTCACCTGGTAGGAGAATCAATGTTGTCTTCAGGCACGCGTCCATAGCTCTCGTAAATGGGTGCTGGGTAGTCAGCTTCCTGTGGATTACGCTCTGGTGTCTTCTGATCGAATGCGAACAAGTGCACAGCGTCGATATTGGGTGCCAACAATCTGGCGTCAAAGTAAACTGTAAAAGATATCAGCCTTTTACCTTCCATAATGACATATAATTTGCAAAGAAAATTAATCGAAAGCAAAACCATTTGGCAAAAAAGACCATACTGGGCCTTATAAAAAATCGTTATATTTATATTTATCGATATTCACAGAAATGTTTGGACAAAAATACGTTATTTACAGATCATTCTGCCTGCACAGTAATGCAGGAAAATACGTTATTTACAGATCATTCTGCCTGCACAGTAATGCAGGAAAATACGTTACAGATCTCAGTACAGGATCAGCTAAGTTCAATATTTAGAGAACGTGACGTTGGCTAACTGCATAAGCGTTTAAAGCAGAGTAGATGTCGCCATCACGTCCTTAATTTCAAAATAAACAGACCATGTAATTTTCATTAGTTTCTCAGCCCTACTTCCCCGACACATACGTATGCTAATATTACACCCGGTATATTGCTGAAACCTCTTAATCTCATTTAAATATTTATTTTTGGACAGGAGGAAGAGACATCATCGTCCAAGCTAATACAATTTTAATGAATTGCTGAGATTTGATAGCAAATAAGTGGAAATGGTATCGATACTCACTGCTACTGTTGACATGAGGAAGTACAGCGACCGACAAACCCTTCATTCTTGGCCTAAGCTGAGCTTTCAGATCACGGACTAGAATGGTGAAACCGTCACGATGCTCCTGTTCCTTGTCATCCTTGAATTTACCATAACCGAAAAACTTCAAGAAACCGTGCTTGACTGATCCTAGAACACCACGTTGTTTCTTGACTTTTGCTGGTGGGAATTGCCAGGCCAAGTCGATTCCATCAAAGTCGTAGTCGTTGAGAAGACGGTTTATAGAGTTGATGAACTTAGACCTTGATTCTGGTGTCTCAGTCTGAAGATAATTATATATTATTAAGATTATATAATTAAGATTAACGTTGAATTATTGAAGAAATTAAATGTGAGGTATTATATAGATCTTAGTGCTGCCTCATGGTGCAGTGAGAAACTATGTGATCTTTTAACGCTATTTAACCATAAATTTCTAATGAAATTTAAAAAAAAGCATAAAAGAAATTGGGTTGTTTGAAATAATCCAGTTTTGATATACTTATAGAGGCAAATTGAGAATGTCTGAATTAAAATGACACTTATGCATGTAACGAAGAATAATATAGCTTCTCAATGTTACTCGATACCCAACTCAAGTGAAAGTAAGTTCAATGTACTTACAAGGACAAGATACTTATGAGTTCCATCCTCTGGATCAGCATTGCCACCGATACTAAGGTAGATCTTCAACTCTGGGAAGGACCTTTTCAGTTGAGTAGTAAGTTTGTAATAGGAATAACCAGCTCCTGTATCCAAAGATGGATTTAAAGGCACAACTTCAAAAGTTTCTGCATTGATCCCTGCGAATCCATAAATCAAATGTGTGCAGAGAGACAGGGCTGAGCGAACATCATCTAACTGGAACTTTCCTGGTCCTGGAAGGAATTACATTAACTTAAATACCAAAATAAAAACCAAAAAGGAGACTATCTGAAGAAAGATAATCTAAAGTAAATCTATTCTAAAGTAATTAGTTGTGAATAATATCATAAATGTATCTGATGAGGTAAAATGTTCATGATTCATCATCAGATTATAATAACTGCTCATGTTTTTAATTTCCTTTTTAATATACATGTAATTGAGGAAGTTATTAGTATTGCAATATTTCCAGTTGAAATATTCAACATGAAAGTTACTATTTAATTTCAGTTTCACTGAAAATATTCACTTCCACTGGATTGCTATTTTAAATTAACATTAGCTCATTGAGTAATAGAATGTTTTATGAAATAGTGAAAGAAATTTACCTTGTCGATCGAAGGCCGAGCTGTTCCAATAGCACACTACCTTATTGTGTTCATTGGTGGTGGTGGCAGTGAGTGCCAATTGGACGCAGAACGCCGCAACAGCAGCGAAAATTAACACTTTCATTTTCGCAGTCTAGATCTAAAAAGTTTAACATACTGTATATGAGATCCAACTTCATCGATCGAATATGAAACATCTAGCTCGACATTTCTACTATTAAACCAAACATTCCATGAAATTTCACATTTCACGAGCAACGATAATTCAAGGGCAATACAACCATAAATATACAAAAAAAAATTTCAGGAAAGAATCGACCCAGGCATATGATAAAAAGAAATACAGAAAAATCCTGAAGAATATAATTCTATAAAATTAATGAAGGGTTCTTCGGGTTCCTATTAATTAATAAAAAATATTGAGATAAATATTTAGAAATTTTTAGGATATTTAAAATATTGAGGAAATATTGAAGGAAAATACAATGTCTATTTAAATATTACTTCAATTACCTCTACGATCTAAATTTTCATGCTCACTAATACCAACGACAGCTTAGAACATTTACAATTTATTCACACTTCTTACATCTACTATTAAAAAAAAAAAAAAAAATCGTTACTATTTACAATTTTTGTTTCTACCATGATCGTATCAACGATTACTATATTATTTTACTATTGTTCAGAATTTTGCGTATAAGGAAACCACACAATCCTCAAACAAAACTGCACTCTTAATGGTAAACCATGCACGAGAGCCACCGTCTGCGATGGTCCGAATAAAAATCCAAGGCTGACTGTATTTTTTCCAAGGAGAAAACAAAATTGGCTGGCAAAACGAATATTGTAAACACGTCTTACCTTTTCGGAAGGAAGAAACCGACTGTCTGCGGCGATTTCTTCCTCGGGGACTTTGATACCTTGGCCTGATCCACTGGTCGAAGTAGTGGGGCTGCTCGATCTTACGTCAGCATCGTGATCTACCAGAAACAGTTTCTCCACGAATATGTCTCCGTGTTGACATGTTCGGATGAGAAATCAAGGTCAACCGTGGGGCCAAAATGTTTCTCGGAACTTCGACTCGTTAACGCATACTAGATACGCAGTCAATTTCAAGGAATAGGTGGCATGATTTCTTGAACTCGATGACAGGATGATAACGTGGATTTGTTTCAACTATCTTCCAGCTTACAGAACTTTCTACGGATTTTTTTTTTGGATACCCTGTATATTAGAGAAGCTGAAGTCCACATGACTGAAGAAATTTTGGTGTAGATTTGGACAGAAAGTTGAAAATGAATACTTTTAAAAAATACATCAGACGTATTATTTTAAAATCTATAATGATCAATGACTTATAGAAATAAATACGTACTATATATATGTATTTACTAAATATACTAAATATACTAAATATATATACCTACTAAATATATGTACTTATAGTATAAATATATATTTATAGAAATAAATACTTATAGAAATAAATATATAGAAATAGGTATATGCACAACTAGGTTTTATTAGGTTCTTATTGGAACAGGATTCGATATTTATTTTATCAAAAGCAGCTCTATTATAATTATTTACTTCATTAATTATAGTTAATATTATTCTAATATTCATCCAAATAAATTCATATAATACATCAGATGTATTTTTTTTAAATCTGTAATGATCAATGACTTATGAGAATAAATAGGTGTATGTAACTAGTTTTTATTAGTAAAAACTTATTCTTAGTAAAATAAAATTCAATATTTATTGTACCAAAGCAGCTTTATTATAATTATTTAGTTCATTAATCATAGTTAATATTATTCTAATATTCATCGGAATTAGTTTAATAGGAATAAATTACCGGTGCGTAATAACCTTTAAATAATATTTAATTTTTTTTTGTAATTGGATGTTATTTCGCAACAAATAATGATGGATAGATTCCAAGAAAGCGGAATGAAATCAGTCTGAAAAAAAAATTATGTATTGCGGTTTCAGATCTCTAGAAAAAAAGGTACTAAAGGGAAATTGGTAATGGAGCATTTATTTCTTCAAACAGTATACTGATCGTGAAAGGTCAATTATAGTTCCCTTCTACGTTGTTTATTATATTATCTAACGTGTTATTTTGCCAGACGCCGGCTATCTGTTAGTAATTTCTTGTTAATTTACTGAATCTGAAACGCAGCAGAATCGCAACCTCTGGGTTATCGCGATAATGTATGTACATCTCGTTCACCCCAATATTTATAACTTCTGTTCTCAGCCAAGGAATACTTAAGTCTGGTAGCGTAGGATATAGAGAACCTGAGGATTTTCCCATTTCCTGTTGCACGTTTTTTTTAATGCTATTATATAAACTTGTACAACATTTTTTGAACGTTGTTTCCTCCTTTTTCCACGTAATTTAAATTTCATTTGGATTTCAACTGTTTTATATCCTGAAAAATAAAATTTCTCACCAGAAAGTTCCACCCAACTTGTAACATGGATGTAATGCAATGGATACAATGTCTCTAATCGTAGTTATGTAGTTTGTATAGTAACTATACTAACTGTAGTGTTATATGTAACTATAGTATTGTGAATAACTATAGTAACTCTACGGTGTTATATGTAACTATAGTAACTACAGTGTTATGTGTAACTATAGTAACTACAGTGTGTTATGTAACCACAGTTTTATAAGTAACTATAGTAACTACAGCAAAGTATACTAAATCAATTAATTCTGCTATAACTAATTCCATTATAGAAGTTTAGTATAGTTGAGTATATAGGAATTAGTATACTATATCTAAGAACAGTATGAAAATCGTATAAACGAAGTTTGATTAAATATATGGTATAGCAGAAATATAAAATTTTTGTTTTAAATAGAAATATGGAAAAAGGTAAAAGGAATATGTAATAAGTAATTACGCCATATCTAATATAACATAGGGAAAAATACGTTTATAACGTTTACGTTAAACGTTGGTAGAAGCCATGTTTGCCGACTGTATTTACAAGCTGCCTTGTTTGTCGGATAAATTCAGTATCAGTAGATCTAGATTCACATAGATCAGCTTGAATAAATTAACATAACATCGACTGGTAAAATTATTCAACGAATCAGCACAGCTGCAGAAAATAAAAACGAAAAAAGACAGGAGAAAACGGAAAGAAATATTCCGGGACCTACGTTTAATTACTATTTTTGGGTCCAGGAGCATTGGCCTGACCAAGATATATTTAAATACAAACCGTATTTATTTAAAGCTGTCTCATATGGAAATTTTAATACATACCTACCCATTTTTAATAAGAAAACCTGTACCATCACATTTCCATTGCAATTATTCCTAATCCAGCGATTTTCAACATTTTCTGTCTCACAGCACACATAAATTAATTACTAAATTCTATGGCATTCGAAAACAGAAATATTTCCTGCTAATATGACAAAAAAATGTAGGTGTCATTTTTATATTCAATGGTCTAAGAGAAGGAAAGTTAGCAGTCCTGATTAGATAGTCATTATATGTTTCAAAAATTCTCACAGCATGTTTAATAATTATTAAGACACATATACAGGTTGAGAACTACTGTCTCAATCCTATACGGTTATATAGGGTGTCCCAGCAATAGTTGTACAACCAGGAAGGGGATAATTCTACGTGAAAAAGCAAATCGAAAATAAGGAATAAAATTTTTTCATTTGAAGCTTCTTTTTCGAGAAAATCGACTTTGAATATTCACCAAGTATGCACGCACTTAACTTTGACTATGGCGGACGGCCATTGGTATACCAGCGTATTCGGTGAATATTCAAAGTCGATTTTCTCGAGAACGAAGCTTCGAATGAAAAAATTTAATTCTTTATTTTCGATTCATTTTTTCACGTAGAATCACTTCCTGCCCAGTTTTACTAGCGTTGCTAGGACACCCTGTATATCGAGTACGATTCGTTAACCTATCTTAGCTGGTCTATTTTACTTTTAATATATGAAACACGTAGCTTTTTATCATAATTTAATAAAAAATAAAATTAAAAAAATAAAAGGAACATGATATAAATGCGTTGGAAGAGTATAAAAATAGAGTCAAGATTTTACTATTATTTCAAAATCTATTCTTAATTCTGAATCAACAGTTGACTCTATGCAATCTCCGGTTTAACGACCTAACTTTATTTACCTACTATTCTTCGCTTTTATCAACACCGAGTAAATAGAAACGTAAATAATAATACTCGTTTACAGTGTAATAAACGCGTGTATACGCACACAGTCGTATAATTGGACTGATCTATCGCAATGCACAATTAAGTTTCGTTAGTAAAATCGAGTTATGTCACTCTTGAAACCCATTATTCAATTCTTATAGTTAAAGATAGTTGGACGATCCTATGCGATACAGCTTTATCGACCTAGTAGTGCCCACTTTAGCGTACACAGTTAGGACCGAACCTGGACACTTACGTGGGCAGATGACATGGTCAAATTCGGTTGGGAAAAAGAGAAGAGATCGATGTCAAATTTTCTCTGACAGTTTACCTCTGGCGTTCACATTCGAGGCCCACTTCGAGATCCAATTTCCAAAAATTAGTGCGGATAGCAATGGACGTTAAAGTGGGAAAAATTTCGGATATTAAAATGGACAAAAGTTCGGACACTGAAACGACTACTTTTTCATTATTATTATTATTATTATTTTTATTATTATCATTATTATTTTTCTCCCTTTCCGGGGTTCTCCATCGGCTGAACGGCACACTGCCAAGTCCAGCTTGGTTTTTAATTTATGTCATTGTGGAAGTTCCTTGTAATGTTGCGCGTGTGTAATATGGTTGCCTTAATTCTGGTCTGTATCCTGAATCTATTGTCTCTAGTTTTGTTGCGGTGCAATAGTAACGCATGACTGCTCTATTCATTTCGTCAGTCCACTTCATGCGTTGCCTGGGTTTTGGTGGTTGCAGGGTTTCCCTCCAAAACATCCACGGTTCGGTTTATATGTATTTGTGTTCGTGTATTTTGTGTGTTTTTTATTTATTTCGGTTGTCCCAGTTTCGAGTTTCGCGGTAATGTCCGACCTGCTCAGACAATTGCCACCGATGGTCTGTCTACTGTCACGCCTTAGCATCGACTCTGGGAGTGCCCTGGCGAACCCCAGGCAGCGTCCTCTATTCGAGGCATTTTCTATATTTTGTCTCCATTTTCAATGGGTTTCCCTTTTAGTCGCCTCTTATGGCAAGCAGGGATTACTGTTGGGGTATTCTGCCCCGTCCACAACATGGGATTATTATTATTGTTTTTATTTTTATTATTATTATTATTAATGGATAAGTAGATGTACATAATTTGCTACGTGGGTACATATCGTACGTTAGCGTTAGACTTAGAGACATATTTGCCTCTGTGGTTTGTGGGAATGAGTAATTTCCCAGTGAAGGTTACTGCAAGTATGTATGTATATAAATTTTTAAGAAGCGAGAGTCACGAGGACGGCATCTCATATGGCTCCCAGTTCATGTTCGTCCATACATGAGTTTATTCCGAGAGATTTTCTGTTTTTGCGTCCTCGGTTACCAGTTCGTCCTCGGTTGTGAATAATCACAGTGGCACCTTGACTTTCTGCAGGATTCGTCTGCAAACTAACACGTTCATGATCATGTGCCTTCAGGATACTTTCTCGTCCGACTCGCGCGCCTCTGGCGACCCTGACTCGCGACAAGGAAAAAAGGTAAACAGTGTCTAACGTGATACATCAAGGCGAATGTTTGAAAGAAACATCTGTGCCAATAAAAATGAGGCGAAATAAAGATACGTCAGTAGAAATGGTAACAATTTACATAGTAGATTTACATAACGGTGACAGATCCAATGAAGGAAATAATTTGGAATACGTTATGTCGGATATTATATTTAATTATATATGTAATTATCCAGACTTTGTAATTTATAAGTAATTAACCCTTTGCACTCAAAAGGTGACTCTTAGTCACCATTTAATCGGATTCTAAACATCTATGTTAGTTAATATATTAAATTTAAAATTACCCAACGATGTGTGGAATGTCGAAGTAAAATAATTCTACGTCTTTATTTGCATACGATTTTTTATTTATAAATATCGTCGACTTTATGGCAGAAAGTTTTCGAATGGCTATTTTTTTGTAACGAAAACATCGTCGAGTGCAAAGGGTTAAAATTAATAAAATTACTTAAAATATATGATCAGATAGAAATATTAAAATATATTCAAAAATGTATATATGTTTGCATACATTTGGATCTATCCTTGGTAGGGTTAAGTTGTTAGGTTGTTAGGTTAGGATTTTTATAAACAATTTGATTTCACATGGAGAAAAATTTTATAGTGTAAAAGAATATTTTCTGATCGTAATAATACCGCGAATTTATGGCATATACTTCTTGCTACAAATAGTCATTGCTGACAAGACACTTTCTCCAGGTGCTTGACCGCTTTCTAACCTAACTCTTGTCTAGGTTAGCCACCAGCAACTTTTTCCAAGTTCTCTGTCGCTTGAGAGAAACATTTTGTTTAATTCTTTTCCTTTCACTATCGAGGAAACGAAATAAATCTGCAATCATGGCACGTTTCAAGGTTTGTTTTGAAGTCGCGAATCGCGAAGGTTTAAAATGTTATAATTCAACTTCCTTTGTATTAATCGAATATGATGAAGCATCACGATGCATGATCTCATCTCAAAACGTATTATACAATTATCTTCAATTACCTTATCGCGAGTCAGCTCGCGTATTCGCCAATTCACGTGCGAATAACCTTCGAGGACTTGCGAGTGACGACAGCCTTCTTGTCTCCGTATTTTCTTCTACCCTAACTTTTTCAGCTCTCGTTTAAATTCTCGTTCGAAAAGTTTCACGATCGTATTCCGCAGGCTTATGCAAGTTAAAACCATCTTGGCAGGGGAATCCCCCCACTCCATACAGGAAGAAAGAAATAAGACATTTTTATTGCTCCTTTGTTTCTTCTTTTATTTCCTGTGTTCTCTCCTAACTCATTTTTATCATCCTATATCTGGACACTGCATACTAAATTTGTTCCTTTTTAACGTTATTTTCAAAGAACAGATTTCTTAACATATTTCATATTTTTCAGTCTTCTGTATATTTGTTTCCTAATATTATGTACATGTCATCTTTTCAATATCGTGCATATTTCTATAGTATTTTCTCAGCAACATTCTCAGCAGAAATAAAGAGAAAATCTCCATAATCGTCATTCACGGTTATATAAATTATTATATATTATATTAATTATTATATTGCAAATTATTAAAAACCGGGGAAAAAGACGCGTTTAGGGCAAAGCTGCTAAACTGCATATTTGCCAAATTATTTTTATAAAAATATTCTTTGTATGAAAGATTTTTATAGTAATTTCCCTTTTAGAAGGCAGAAAATAATTTTTTCCTCGATTTTCTTATATTACTTAATAGGTTGTTCCTTTGAACATAAAATTCGTTTAGAAAATAGTAATTCTCAAAAGACTTTTAATTATAGAAAAAGAAAAAGAAAGTCAACCGACATCTTTTATAATACATTCGATTAATAAATCTAACATCGTTAATCTTGACTAATGCTACTATTTCTTCATTGCGAGGTTCCCCGAAGATATGAAAAAAATTATCATCTCTATAACGTCAACCGACGTTAGAAAACAATTTCAAGAAACTCAGACGTTATCAGGAATTCGTGACAGGACGTTATAGAGACGGTTAGACGCAATGCAAATCGCTTCTAAGAATCGCGATCGTCCTGTATCGTATTCCGAGCTTGCGTAACTTTTGTATACGTGTGCGTCTGAGTCATTGGCAAATAAAATCACGAGCAAGGACTTCTAAACGGTTCGATAAAATCGACTAATCTACATAACATCCGATACATCATATGCAAGTAGCGACCAATAAGAAAAACCTGCTACCTTTGTTGAGTAACGATTTTTCTGATTTTTAATTTCGAACCGAATTTTATTTGAGGTTATGATTTACCGCGGTAGAAAATATTTTTGAACATTTCGTATAAATTTACATTAAGTGCAAAGCATGGTACAATATATATGTAGATTTGATAAAATCATCAGAGGTTTGATAAAACATCGAGAATGTTTTGCTACGACACGTCGATGACACATCGATAAGGAACTTGTTAAGAGAACAGTTAAAATATTTAAGTGATGTTTAATTAAGATCTGATTCATTGTGGAACTTTTGTAGTGAAGAAGTTAATAGAAACATAAACGAAAAGAAAAAAATGTAGTATATAGTTACTGTTGTTGTACGAACATATTTTTAGAAATTACATTTTCACTGATTCTAGAAACTATAGATTTTCCAAATCTACAAATATTGTGTCAGCTTTGGTGTATGACTACTTTTCTACACTAAAAGGAAAAAAGAGAAAAAAAATATTACTTAAAACTGAAGATATTACAGTAACGATAGGAAACAAACATTGAAGTAAAACAGCAGACAAAATATTTGTATAGTTATCGGTTAGTTTATTTTGTAATAAGACATGTACAAAAAGTTTGAGTTATGGTAATGATCAATAAATCATTGAGTAGTAAATGTTAGTTCAGTGATTGTTAAAAAAAGAAGATAATAGCTTTTTCCAGATGCACATATCACTGTTAAAGGTTATTAGGACAGTAGATTATTTTGTAATAATTTATTTCCTACAGACAGATCAACATGGTCATAAATACATTCTATGTATGTAAAATACTTGGTAGCTTATCTTTATGTAACCTGAACTCTGCATGCAACAAAATCTTAAATTTTAGAGAAATAAAATACATCTATTTAAGAGATATAACTAAAACAATTTTGTAACTTACAATTAGATAGTCCTGTTATAATGTTAGATAAATTTATATCATTTTAAATAGAGTATAATTAACTTGCTTTCACGTTATTTAAGTAAGGTAACTTTAGTTTCCTATAAAGATAAAGGGTAGATATAGTAAAAAATCAAGTTCCAGAGTTTTTAAGTCTTTTATTATGAAAAAAACTCTTATGTACATATGGATCACTTTTCTCTGTATCAGTGTATAAGTAGATATCTACGGTCATAACAAATATTAATCTATGTCTGTAGTAAATTCCTTAAAGTAGTTCCTTTCATTCTGTTAAGTCTTGATTAGTTAGCGTCAGAACGACGACTAATAGGCAATAAATAAATCACGTGTACCCTTGTACCAATTGTATTGCACGGTTTCAACGAGAACAGTCGGCTGATTGAAGTGCTGAATTCTATTTAAAAATTTCCAACATGTTGGTTTAAGTAATACGTGCATTTAAGTCACAATTCCGCGTAGGTAGCTCGTTGAAGGAAGTCATCGACTCTTTCACTGACAGAATATTTATTTTATAATCTTCTTATAAATTACTTAACTTTCAGTGATAACTTACAACTTGATATCGGGTGATTAATGTTTCACTTAAAAAAAAAAAAAAAAAAAAAACCCAAAAAAAAGGGAA